TGTAGTGAGTATACTGGCAGCGTCATACTCGCCTGTCCCAGAGCGAGGGAGGGGGGGAAAGGGACTGGCCGGCTGACGCGGGGGGTGACGCATCTCCGTCAGTAAGCGAGGATCTGCCTTTTGACTGCCTTCATACGGGGTGCATTTATGAATGATAGTTAGGTTGTTACGTATCATCGCGTTTGTGTAAGTGAGTATACAGAAATCCTTGACTTTTCGTAGTGGGTACACGCCGTATACCTGCGCATCACGTAGACTACACCACTGGTCACAGCTCAAAATGTACCTCTACACTGGGGTTACTGTAAAACCCATTCCTCCTTTTAAACTTTGTTTTACATTGTGTATTTTATTGATATCCCCTTTTGGTCACACTGTGTTTTTCTGTTTACTATGCAGAATTATTTCCTTGTGAAGCACTTTGTGATCCTGTTCTGTGGAAAGCATTGTATAAATAAAGTTTATATACTTACTTAAATAATGAAGGGAGTGAGTGGGGAAGACAGGTGAGTGTGATTGAGCTTGAGCTGCTGTGAACGTTAAGCTGGGGCACTGAATGAACTGATTAGGTGAGTGAGAGGTGGAAATGGGTGGAAGCGACAGAGCTGGCAAATGGAGCTGCCAAGGTACATTTCTCAATCGGTCAGAAACAAAAATGTAATGTTTACTATGGTGTATACGATGGTGGAGCATGGAGTAGAGAGGGAGCGCGGTTCGAACCCTGGCTGCTCCATGTTCCATGTCGAAGTGTCCCTGAGTAAGACACCCAACCCCTAATTGCTCCCCAGGCAAAATTTAAAAAATGCATGGTTTAAAAATGCAATGTAAGTCGCTTTGGATAAAAGCGTCAGCTAAATGACATATAATGTAATGTATATAAAAGCAATGTTATGGTTCTACCATCAAGCCCTGTATACGCTGATGGTGCTACTTCTTAGTTCTATTATATTTCTCACTATTTATACCGACTAATATCATGAAATGTCCAAAAAGAAACTTGTTTTTTCTCTAACTTTCCCCATTCGCCCACTTAACATTTGCTTCTGCGCCTGTTGGCAGAATTAAGTTCCTCTATAACCACCTCAAATTACAATATGTTTACCGTTCATGGCAAAGAACTTTCTACAGCAGGCTCATTAAGTTAAAGGCTAACTTCCATACTCACAGGCTGCAATGTAATCCTATACTTGCAATTTAGCACAGCCAATTTATGCCCTCTAATTTACTAACTGTCATTATAAGTGTGTAAGAGTGTCGCTCAAGAAAAGTCTTGCTCGGAAAAGACAATGAGTTTTTTGTGTTGGAGAACTGAGAGTTGCTTTGCGTTATGTTGCCACAGCTGAATATTCATGGTGATTTTGACCATGTTGACAAGTTACTGGAATTACATGGCCGTGGGTATTTGAGGCGAATGATCAAGTGCTACTACAAGCTGAAGGAGAGAGAGCAAGAAGAGAAAGCAGCTGCTGCAAGGCCACGAAGCTTCGAGAGACTGACGTAGTTACTATGTGTGTGTTCAGATTTCACTTCGCGTTTATGTTAAACGAATGCTCGAACGAATGCTCCTCGTCAATCCCAGTAAGGCGGCCCTAAAGCAGATTCCGCCATATTTACCCTTGGCTCTAAACCACACCATGTTGGAATAAATGAACATCATGCTTCCCTGACAAATACTTGAAAACCAAGGAGCTCCTATGTACAATGTCTACTGAGGGAATAAAATAAACTATTTTCACACAATAAACTACTATTGACTGCATGTATACACCATTTTCAGTAAAACCAGAAAGGATCATGTTGCTGTTCCCTTCGTTGAAATGAAAGGTCTTCTCAGGTCTACTTGCCTTGGAGGCTCTGAGACTTGTTTCCTGTCTGTTGTCAGAATGCTCAAATGAACCCTTAGTCTAATCCTGTAAATTAGGGTCTTGTTTTCCTGCAAAAGGGTTTGGAGTATCAACTCTGTTTCATATGGGAGAACTTGTTTTAAGTCAAATCAGTGGGTATTAGATTCCTGCATTACTGTATATTTCAACTATCAAAAGTCTAAACACATTTGTTTGCAGCGGACTTGACTATTAACATTCATCTAAAATTAATCCGAAATGAAATTGATTTAAACTGCTTATTATGTGTGTAGTTTCTCAACTGTCTAATTATGCATTTAGTGAGTTGTTGTTTCATGCTCTTTATCAAGATATGTTCTCTCTTTGCAGCTGCACTGTCTTGTTGACTCTATCAGGAGAATTGGGCCGATCATCAGCTATTCAAAGCTGTTGTTTGAATCTTCTTAAAGAGACCACTCATCTGTTCCGCTTGATGTTATCAATGGAGCAGAGTCAAAAGCAAAGCTAGAGCGCCTGTACGTTTCATTTCAGAAGGAGAGTGCTTTTGAAAGGGGATCACGTGTGCACAAAATAATGTTTGAGTACTAAATCAATAGATGAAATCACCATTAATAGAAACAATATCAATCAATGTCGGACATAGCTGATGAAAGCAAATAAGTCCTCGGAGGCTATTGGAGAATTCACATTGAGAGCACAATAAGGACACCTGTTCTCTGTAATCTGAAGACAGCTAACGTTCTTCATTCATTACTTTCTCTTTTTACGTTTCCGTTCCGTAAGTACTAATTTAGGATGTGTTGATGTAGATATCAGTGCTTTGAATGAATGAGTTTTTACTGTGAAGGTATTAGTATATGAACATGCTTTATTTCTTATACAATTCTGCAGTGTGACCTGACCGTCTGGAAATAAATAGTTAGGAATATTATTATGATTACTGTTATAATTTCTAACTATTATTATAATACCAATTTTTATTTATATATATATATATATACAGTGGGGAGAAAAAGTATTTGGCACACTGCCGATTTTGCAGGTTTTCCCACTTACAAAGCACGTAGGAGTAATTTTTATTATATTTTATTATATATGTATATATATATATATATATATATATATATATACACATATATATATATATATATATATATATATATATATTATGGTATTTTAATAATGGTTAACCAGTAACGAGTTTGACTGCAAAACATTTTTTGGTGATTTTCTGTAGTTTCACAGTTTAAGAGTACCTATAATAAAAAATTTTTTTTGGTACGCAAGTACTTAGCAGCACCGGGAACATCAGTACCTTCTGAAAGGTTGTTTTTAGGGTCTGGGCATGTTGTGCAAAAGAAGCGAGCTTCACTGTTGTCTGAAAATGTCAACAGGCTTGTCTGTTTGTGTAGCTGAAAGCAAAGAAGTAGTAGGCTTACCTTTTATTGGTAACCTTACTGTTACAGTTCATTTTTGAAGAGAGGCCTGACTGCTTTGTTAAAAAATAAAACATTTGCATAAAGCAAGCCAATCCACTTTTCCATGTTGATTAGAGCATTAAAATGAAAAATTATGAATAATTATGGGAAAAAATAAATGAAGGGACATTTATAATATATACAAATTTGTGATTAATTTTGAGTTAACTATGACATAAATGTGATTACATTTTTTTAATTGTTTGACAGCAGTAATATCAACACATGCATTTGTTGATATATACACATCACTCAGGTGTCAAACAACAAGCCAAACCGGCGTTAAAACCAATAAAGCAATTTTTTTTTAATGCTCATACCAATAATAGATCATTTTTGTGTCCAGATGTCGAAAGAAACTGCGCGCTCACCTTTAACCTTTTAAATGTGTCTAGGAGCCGCCATAAGAATTCATCTATTTCATCTATTCCATCAACCATGGAAGTGCTGGAACACTATTTCTACTTTTAATATGTTTTGGAAGGCCCAGGTATTTCTGGGCCTTGTCTAGGTTCTTATTTTTGAATGACCTGTTCAGAGCCACCTAACTAAGTAATGAAAAAAGTGATTTACAATAATTGATGCGTGACAAGATGAATGGATGTATGATCATCTCAAGTTCAGCAGTTGAGACCACAGATCTGAGTTTACTTATATTTATGATATGGAAAAAACACGCTGTAGACATCTGCTCAATGTGGGGGTTATATAGATGGACCAAAGAAAATCCCCAGGTTGCGCAAGTCACAGTGGGCAGCAGAGGAGAGTGGACTAATACTTGATCATGGGGACAAACTCATCAGGTGCAATGATTAGAACCTCTGTCTTACTGTTGTTCAGTTGTCTGCAGTTTTCTGCTGTCCAGTCACTGATTGACACAATCCAAGAGCCTAGCTACTGTGAAAACCTTACTGGGTTTCAATGAAAGATGGAGTTGTATATCATCTGCGTAAAAATGCGCAGACAAAAAAAGGCCCCATGACTGAGCCCTGTGGTACATCATTACATTATATGTCATTTAGCTGACGCTTTTATCCACTGCACTTATTGTAAGTCGCTTGACTTACAATAAGTGCATTTCAACCATAAGGATACAAACCCAGAAGAACAAGAAACAAGAAAGTGCAATTTCATAGAATAAGCCAATTTACAACTTGCTATAGATGCATTATAAGTACAATTAGAGTGCTACAATTTGTTTTGTGTTTTTTAGTCAAGGTATAGTTTGAAAAGATGTGTATTTAGTTTGCGGTGTAAAGATGTAAAGACTCTGATTCTGGTGTCATCACATAACAATGGAGAGCTATCAGTCACAAACTCACTCCTAGAAACAGTTGATGCTGTCATCAAGGTACGAGGTCAGCCAGTCTAATACTGTTCCAGAACTGCCCACCCAATTCCGTAGCCTCCTAATCAAGAGGTTATCTTAGGAGCGTCTACAGTAGTAGACGCTCAACAGAGGTCCAGCTGTACTAACAAAGAGCAGTCGCCCCAGAAGGCATGAGAATGTCATTTGAAACCCTCCGTAGAGTGGTTTCAGTTGAGTTGAAAGTTTTTTACGGAACACAAACTGGAATTCGGTAGGTGGGTAAATCTCCAAAGGACACAGTTAAGGAACTGTGTGAGTGCCAAGAAACAGTGCCATAAAAAAACATGAATAATATTAATAGATTCTCACCTGCTTGACATCATATCCCAGAAGAACGTAGTTCAGATCTGGAGAAATTGAAAACTTGGTTGCCTTAAAAGTTGACTGTGGGAAAAATAAGAAATGTATGAGGTGTCTTTGTTGATTTAAAACACACAAAATCAGAAATTATAGTTAACACAACCCAGGAATCCCTCTCCCAAACCGAGACGAGTGGGAAAGGTTACAGAGAACGTTGCGTTGACCTGAGAACGGACAATACCTGCTGTGGGAACAGCAGGTTGCCATTTTAACAACCTCAATGCTCAGAGAGTAGAAAAGCAGAATTTCCACTGTTCGTAACTCTTTAAAATGTTGTTTTCTTAAATACTGGTGTGCCATTGTTGATGTTGGTTTTTACTTCCTACTACTTTATCAGTCCCAGTGGAAGTGAATTAAACCTTCTAAAAGCACTGGAAGAATTTCTCTCCTTGTAAGAAACAAAGATAGTACTTACAAATGTTGTGTTCTTCAGCAGCAGCTCCGTCTCGTTGCTGTGCGTGCTGACTTTCAGAATGTCTCCATCCCAGCTCCGAAAGATGATCTCCTCCTCTGAAGGAAAAACACATTTTCAACAAATGACGTCATTGTCTTTCTTTTCTAACATTTATAAAGGGTTTGGGTATTTGGCCCTCGACTGAGAAACGATTGATTTGTGTGTGACAAAATCGTAAAAAGGTCAGATTCCATTATTATATGATTCTTGGTTTTTGTTAGAAAACTCAGTGAAAAGTTAAAGCTGATTTTAAATTCTAGAGTAAATTACAACCATGTGAGGTTTTTAGAATGTGGAAAGAATACTGACCTTAGTAAATGGACCTTCTACTTCTAAAGAAATTAGGTTTCTGGAAAAAAGAGATTTCTCAACAAAAGGTCAAAGTGTCAGTGCCTCAAGTTATAGGCAATCTTAACTGCATTCACCTCCATCAACTTTAAGCCTGGAGCAACAGTGAATGTGTTTCTGTGGCAACCGTGGTGCTCTAAAGTTTGCATTATTTACAAAGTCTCTTGATGTGATTTGCATGAAATCTTCAAGCTTCAACTATTGCTGCCGTCTTTACTCTGAGACCAACTCATAGTTTTCACTTAACAGTTGATGTTTTCAGTCAATTCCAGAAGTGTACCTTAGTATAGATTCTTAGAGCAAGTTTGAGGCTGTTAGTGGTTTAAAAGTTCAGATATCCTCAAATTCAAATGATAAATTTGTTTTTTCTGCACACTTGCCAATTTTAGCTCTGGCTATCAGTTGATAGACAGCTATCTGTCTATCAACAGACAGAAAACTCGAAGTTGTTTGTCCAAAACTGTAAATTGTGATCATAACATAGTTCAGTGGTTAAACCATTAATCCATCTGAAATCAGTTTCAGGATGTTTTAGGGTCCTGTCACATTTTCGTCAATATAAAAGTCCTGGACCTCTTCACAAAAACAAAAGTCATAGCTAGAAGTTGAGACAACTTGAAAATCTCTTTTGTGTAAAATAAAATGGCATGATAATCCTAATTTTAAAAAAAGCGCAAATTAAATGTCTTTGTCTTTTTCACAGAAATTGGACAACTGTGGAATCTTATTTACAGCTATTGTGTCCACAAGATCAAAATGTCCCAAATAATTCAAAACCACCTGCAAAAAAATATTTGGCTATGGAATCCCACAGTGAATGCCCTCAGAGAGGAGTGGGAGACCAGAAGAAGAAAACCACAATAAAGACAAGACTCATTTAGGAGGATCTGTCTCAGACAACTGGGCTCACAGAAATTACACTTCAACTCCAATGGTTGAAACAATAGCAGAACTGCCTAGAATAACACCAGTGTAATCCCTAAAACCAACACAGCAGCCTGGGGAAGCCGGAATTCCATTAGCGCATCTGACGGGTCTAAATCATTCCGGGGTCCCCAGCTCATGTAAATGTCAATGAATAAGCTCCAGGGCATCAATCGCAGACAAGAGGGCTATAGACTAGCAAACACTCAAAACACATGAGAGTATAGTGACAGGAAAATGAGCAAGATAGACAGATGGATTGCTTGTTTTCAACAGGGAGGGGAATCTTTTTGTCTTTTAGAGATAATACCGCAGTGAACAAAGCACAGGCCTCTGTGCCTGTTGTATATGCAGTGCATGGATCACATCAATGCTGGAATAAAACATCTCACAGCAAATGTAATTGGAAAATGGGGCTACTGTCCTCCTGATTTGACAACAGTTCCATCTCTAAAAGCCTCCGAGGATGAAGGTGACACGCAATCTCAGCTGTGTCCCAGCTATGAGAAGAATCGCCCTGTTTTGTAATGCCAAGAATTAAAGGTAGTCACTAGTTATGCCGCTGGCGGTGCTCTTACCCAAGTGAGTATGAAGGAGGTATAAAGAAAATAGTTTTAGAGTACTGCTTTCCAGCCCTAAGTCAGCGTTTTGACCATCCAGGTTTTGTGGCCATCATCTTATAATCCGCCGTGGATGCTCCTCTCATTCGCAGTAAGTTCCTACAATTCTTGTAGCTGATTGGGCCAGATATCCGTTACAAATTGTTTTCAATGGCGGACCACTGTGGGGTTTGGAGGCCAGAAATAGCTCAGAACCTGGTTGAGTACTGCTGAGCCATGGAAAGGAGCCCTGTCAACATACTGCAGATGCAATAGGATTATTTGGTTGTACCATCATGATCCAAACAGACAGTGTGAGTGAGAGAGACTCAAATTACAGCCAGGCTTTATAAGCGGAACCCTTGGCTGAGTGCCAAGTGCCAAGTGTGCCATTGTGAGGCTCCCGGAAACGTATTGTCATTAGCAGTTTCTTTACCAAAATGATTGACATTACAATTAATGTTAAGTACTGTTAGGGATTAGTTTTTCTTGGAAATAATGCTACAAAATGTATTTTGTTGTGTTTGTTGTAACTGAAGAAATGAAATGCAAAAAAAACCTCTGAACAAATGTAATCTAATCTTTTGGTTTTTGAGCCAGTGGCCATATTGTCAGTAAAAACTTAATTATTGAATACATTGACTGAGAAGTGTCTCTAGTATCCACTAAATGACAAAACTGTTAATAGTTCACCTTTTATTCATGCCAACTGAGCATCATCAATCCAGATACTTACAGTGGAATTAATATTTGGTCTGATGATTACATAGGATGCAATATACATGGATGCAATATACATGGTTTAGTACATTCCAATCTAGGAACAAATGACTATGTGTTATGGATCACTCATTTTTCAGCTCCACGAGGCATTTGAGCATCTTTTAGCTCATCATTTTGGATTTCCTCCCCGGGAACTCTGTTCTCATCAAAAAGATGAATAAACATTGAGATGAGTTTAACAGATGATTCCAGCCACAGCAGGAAGCTTTTTCTTCAGCCGCTAGAGACGGCTTAACATTGGGCTTAAATTCCTCAGCTGTCACAGTGAATGCATGTTCACTGCCAAGAACTGACAACCATGAGCACACCGATTACTCTAATGAGAGAATCAAACTTCCAACCAGGTAGGGACCATAGTCTTTGTTGTGCCTAATGTATTATTGAGAGATGTACCAAATGGGACACAGCTAATGAGTCTCTTGGAGGAGCATTCTCGTGAGAAACCGAAACTAACAACTCCCGCATGTCTCCAGTCGTTGACTGACACAGCTAAGAAACACAGCTATAATAGGTCTCTGCACAGTTATGATGGCATATTGTATTATAGAGTCATGTTATTGGCCATACATATTGCAATTACTTTAAAGTATTTTCTAATTTGTATCAAATAGGGCCGATTTAATGTAATGTAACAAAATGCCTTAGAGTCGAGTACTTTCTCCACAAATAAAAAAAACAGTTCAGGAGTTCAGTCTTCAGATAAAGTTCAGCGGATTGTCTGTCAGGGTAAATATTTTATCAGAGTGTGACAGATGTCAACTAGCTTGATGTATAATTTATGTCTGGGTCTGGCTACATGTATAATATCAAGTAGGTGTTTGATGCTAACATGCTAATGACGCTAGCTAGTGCATATCCAGTGTTGGGTGTGCTGCCATAAAGGAGACAGCAGTTAGGGGTTAGGTGTCTTGCTCCGGGACACGTAGCAGCCGGGGTTTGAACCAACAACCCTGCCGCTACCGGTCCACCCTCTCTGCTCCATGGGCCATGGTGGCTCTACAGTAAACTACCAGTCAAGTAGCCAGCTATAGAAAGAGGAAGATTGCCAGTTTAAAGATTTCATTTTTTTTCTCCTTTTTTCTTTCTCCAACAACTGCAGCATAGTATTGTGTTTAGTCCATGTTCCTGTTTTAACATATTCATTCCTAATTTAAGTTCACCTTGAGAGCCTCTGTGTTGCATCTCTTGTTAGTACAATCTATAGCAGTAGTAGTCTCACTTTTTTCATTGTTTATCATTTTAAATGTAATCTTAACTTCTGGTTTTAGGTGCATTGTGTAACATCTGCCACTTGGAACAAAAAAATAGCCCTTTGGCTAACTTTTGGCACATTTAAAGTTTCATAAATGTGCACTGTCCCTTATCAAATAAACTAATAAATAAATAAAAAATCTTGAACTGTATTAAAAGTAATGATTTATCTTCACAATGTGAATGTTATAATGTTATATCAATTACTGGCAGATAATAGTTCACAGTAAGCCAGGCTATGACAGAAAAGTAAAAAAACAATTAAATATCCAATTTATTTAATTTAAACAGCATATTATAAAAGGATTCTTAGTAGTATTGTTTTTAGTGTATTGGCTGTTAAGTCCCATTAATTATTATATTAATCTATATAATCCTGTTTCTTCGCCCTTATTTTAGGGTCAGGGTTCATACACATTTTGACCAGTGGATTTCCATGACTTTTCCGTGACTTTTCCATGACTTCAAACTAAATTTCCATGACCAAATAAGTGTGAAATCTCAGTGTATACATGAAAAAGTGAGAAAATGTAGTATTTAAACTAACAATGAGAATACCAAAGCATACAGCGTTTCCCCCACCATTCAATTCGGTCTCAAGATGTTATAATTATACAATTATCCACTATGGAGTATCGTTTGGGGTTTTCCGGATACCAGTTCTAAAACGATACTTAAACAGTGCCTACAACAATACTTGTTTTCCATTATTTTACTTCAAATTATGGACAATATATGAATGTTAACAGTTTACAGTAGACATACAGTCTCTGTAAGCGCCGGAAGTGTATGTATTACTTCATTGGAATTTTGGGAATATTAATCATTTAATTTATGGTCATTGTGCAGGAACTAGAGATATGTAACTTGTATTGAACGCATTTATGTTGGATTGACGCTCCTTGTGTGTCTCCATGTATTGACGTCGTGATTGCAGCAGGTGCAACACAGAAGAGCTGCATGAGGCACAAGAGCATATCGTTTATCTGCCCTGTGACAGAATGTAGTAATTGTATATTATGTTGACGCATTGCAGCATAAAATGAACACAAAACGAAAAGAATCAAATGATCTCCTGTCATTCGAGGAGGAAAATTAAGTCACGTGTCTGCAGCTTAATACGGCTCAATGACAAAGAACACCGAAGCAACGCCGCCACGCCCTCTGTTTACAACTTGGAACTGCTGCTAGCAGACGGGCAGCGCACGTCGGAAAATGTCGGTGTCGCGTACAGCGCCGGTGGCCGAAGAGAGAGACGTGCTGCTCGGCATGGTGGCTTCGCTAGCAGTCGCCCTCTGAGGGGGTTTCTGTAGTAGCTTCGATAGCAGCGGCGCAGTGATGTCTGCTTCCTTTAGCACGGCTCGTTAATGCCGCTCTCCCATGTTTAAAATATATAATGTTCCGCCTACACATTACTTACATTCTGCTCGTCCCGGGTCTTTGTTTGTCGTAACTCATGAGATGCACTTTTCCATACGTAGCCAACCACGGTTAAATCTACACTTCCCTGACACTGGATGATTCCTGAGCTACCGAACTTTTCAGTCAAGGCGTGTTTACACCGCCGCGGTGCGAATTATTTGCGCTGCGAGTATCAGAGCGTCCTGCGTCTCTTTAAAACCATATGAATGATTTCAAACGTAATCTTAAATGAACCACATGACCATAGAAATATAACAAATTTCCATGACTTTTCCAAAACTTTTAGGATTTTATTTCTTTCCATGACTTTTCCAGGCCTGGACATGAGATAGCGGCTTGGCCTTGCAGACTCCTAACCACACCAGCAGAGACTTTTGCGCTGGGGTGATGGTGCCGTTGAATAGGTGGATTCAATGAACCTCCTGGAATCCGCTTCCCACCCACTTGTTATAGCCTCATTGTATTAGAATAGAAAAAAGAAGTATAATTGATTAAAGTTGTAAATTGGTCAGATTGGACCGTAGCACGACAGGAGGGAGACTAAAAGCAGGGGAAACAGTAATAACCACATTCAATTATTTGTAATATATAAAGAATTTAGTAGCCTAATGACTGTTTATAAACTGTAACCACTATATTTGCCAGACCCTAACAACAAAAATATTCATTGATCATAACTTTTTTTATCTAACTTATTAACTGTGTTTGCTCACGTAGCTAAATCATCACTTACCACTGATCCACTTTGCTTCAGGATCATGTATTTGGAAGTTTCTTTGAAAGAGGTCATCCAATGTCAACTGGGAACCAAAGGGTTTACCACCATCATCTGCAGAAGGAAAAAAAACGACTGCATTATTGTTTTTCATTTGATTGTGTTTTATATTTTTACTCAAAATCTTAAAATAAAGCTACAAACGCTTGAGATGAACCTCAGGGTAAATAAAAACGACTGATATTATAAACCAATTGTTATTCTATGATGGAACAGCTAAAGAATAAAGTAATACTACACAAAGGTAAAAAATGTATTTTTATACATTTTGATATCAAGTTACATTTTGATATCAGCTGATATCAAGTTGAAGCACCGATCAAATACATTCTGCATTCATCTTTCATAGAACTCTGACCCTCATTGGATCTGTAGAGAGCCTCACCCCTTGACAGCAGAAAGATGGACAGACCAATGAGAGAAAGCACTACCGCGATAACCAGCAGGGAGATGCAGATGCCCTTCCAGTTTCTGTCTGCTCCGATGGGTCCTATGGCTCCTATGTCCTACACAGCAAGAGAGACAAGTTGTGTAAATCCATCAAGTAAATAATGACAAAATAACAACACAAAAGAAAAGATCCTTCCATCAACGCGCCGCACCCTGCTGAATTGTCCTTGGTCGGGACACATTTTGCGGATCTGTGCTCTGGTTGACTGAGCCTGTGCATGGGTCTATGTGACACAGAGAGACAGATAACTTCTCCCTTTGGACATTGATATTGAGAAACCTGAGAAATGTCCTGTTAGAAAAATGTCTAGTTTAGAAAGGGAAAGAAAAATTGTCCCTGCCGTAGATAAACTGGAGTTCTGACACTATGAATAAAAGATCCTATGTAACCAAGGGCATACACAGAGATATGTGGAGTGCCATAACATTCACGTTGACCCATGAGACATCGGAAGTTAATCATTTTCAGGTTTTAACCTTTTGCTTGTGTTACCTTTCTGGTAAAATCTCCTCTGTTACTGTGTCGGTTTCTTAAATCAGCTGCAAAATCCACTAAAACATTCAATTTGTTTCTCTTGGTTACGTTGTTAAGCTTCCAAATCAAAAGAAAGTGAGAAAATATTTGTTTTAATATTTTTGGTCTGTTTCTTTGTCAATTCAGTATAGACTTGATAAATTATACTGAATTGTTGTGTCATGGTCGTCTTTGTTTGTTTTCGTGCAGGTGTACTGAGTAACAAAAAAGCCTCACGGATCAATACACACATTTACTTAATCTTCAATGAAAGGTTCCAATCCAGGATAGCAAGCGGAAAACCGGCTACGGAATCATCAGAATGTTTCAAGAATTACATAGTGTACGAGGGATAGTTCATGGCTGCACAGTGCTGTGTGCTATTTATAGTCCCAATCAGTGGCGTCCATAGACGTTCATAGGGAATTGATATGTTTACACTGATCTCCTTTGTTTTGTTGAGTACGGAACTGGAGCCTTGAGATTGTGATTTTCTCATCTTGGTGTTTGATTGTTTTTGCATTGCGTTACTCGCGGGACCATTTGTGGTTGTTCGCCGCATTTGCTTTTTATTCACGCTCAATGCGCCGGGAGGGGAGGCTTATGTCCATGGAATCCATTATTTTTTGCATCAACCATGCAAGAAATACCCAGGATTTCTGCTTAGTACTTGATTTTGGAAGTCTCAATTATCCCGGGAAAGCAAACAGTCCTGCCTGGATTTAGGCAAATCATCTTATTTGCACTCCCCCCTTTACAGCACCGCAGTGAATCCGTGTTTACCCACGTTTATTCGCATCCCACTCCCAGTCCAGAACATGTCAATCACCAGGTAGCCTTCCCTGAAATATAACGTGTTTTATTGTTTATTTGACTATATGATTACAACGTTTACTGAGGGAATAAATGAAGAGAGTCATTTTCTCATAAACTTCTCTAGCAGAGGTCTCCAGCCACCGGGCCCAGTGACCGCTCTGCGGGCCACTTGGTACCGGGCTGCAGAGAAAGAAAAAATGTTTTTTATTTAGACTGTTAAAAAAAATGAACAGATTCTCTCCCGAATGTGTCCCTCTTGACACATTTCCCAAGCGTGACCCAAGCGTTCTTTTGTCGTGTGCAGCGACTACCAGCCTCTTTTGCCAACCTTTCGGCTTGTGCGGTTGCTCCCGTTCTCATGCAGAACTTGATAAAAGCGTTCACAGTGTGATGGAACAGAACAGTTGTCTGAAGACCAGGCCCATTTCAGGACAGATCTCAAGCGCTTTATCTTCCCGACCTTCCAATTATCCAGCCTTATTTAATTTGCAGTGACAGAGCAGCGTTATAAATAAATCCATCTCGCTGAAATAGCCCCAAGCTACCAAAAACATATCTGTGTATTTATGGATCTCTTTGCTTTCCTAGTCTTTTAATTGTGGGAATGATTTAAAGATAAGTATCCTGGAGCCTTGCCAATTCTACATCCCCTGCCTCTACAACTCCCTTTAGCTTTAAACCAAGTCCTTGTAGCTTCCCCATATTAACATTCTGGATAGCTATCAAGAGAAAAGTAATTATCCACACTGAGGACTCTGCCTCCAGTACAAATTCCAAATCATGTTGTTCAACTAGGGGAAATCCTCATTACAAGTCGGGGAACATTATGGCCATTCTTATTTCTTCACCAGATCATTATTCATAGACCTCCAAAGATGAACACCGGGCTGATTGGTCAATGTGCTCTTAAGAGTGTACAATTTTGAGTGCTAGAATTCAGTGAGGCTAATCGAAAATGTCCCAAAACAAAACAAAACAATATATATATATATATATATATATATATATATATATATATATATATATATATATATATCATTAAAAAATGGAACAAATTCCTTTTGGACATCTAACAACAACCTAAAAAAATAATTAAAACGCAACAAATCTAATACAATCAACATTGTAAGCTTTGGTTTGTTTGTTGTTTCTTCAGCTGCTAATTGCTCCAGTAGCTCGTTGTTTTTGTCAGTGATGACAATGATGACAATGATACTTGGAGAGGCTTGTCGCTCTAACAAACCTTTCATTAAGTTGACTTAAAACATTATGTTCACCGCCGCAGGGTCACGTTCAAGCTTGCTTCCATTGTCAATTCATTTTCACCCGTAAGCCGTCTTGCAATAAGACACAAACGATGATGCTCCGTGCAGCCCAGCGGATAGTTCTGAACGCGCCGGGCATAGCAGGTCAGTGACTGAATGAAACATTCGTACTGTATTTTAACATCTTCACAGGAAACGTAATTAACCTGGAACCAATACTATTATTGAGAGGGTTAAGGTTATATTTACCCTTAATCCATTTAACCTATATGGCTTTACATTCCCGTTGCAGTGAAATGGAGACGCAAAGTCTGTGGTGATACATGGAATAGGTCAATGTTATAAGTTTGTCAACACATGATCAGCCAGTTTTCTCTCACCTCTGAGCAGCCAAGTTCTCTTCTTTTAAACAATACCAAGTCACAGTGTTTCTGTCAGCTGCACGCCGGAAGGCTTCAACAAAAACAGATACCATCAACCATCTCGCCGGCTCACCTGTCAAGAGGCAAAGCTTTTCCCTCCACAACTTCCAAGAAACTGAAGAGCACATGCCATCTCTCACTCTCTTTGTGATGGCCAAATGGGATTTTACTTTCAGTGAAGTGTTCTCTACTATCTGTAGCACTGCGCCAGCTGCTGTTTTGAAGATACACAGCTGCAAAACTTCACAGTAAACGGGCCGTAAAGTGCACAGTGTTATGCAGCTGTTATAATCTCAGTCATTATGTATGATGGTGAAGAATATAGTGTGAACCTTTTTTTAAGACCAGACAGCTTCAGATTCGGACTGCCTGCACAATTCCGAGCATATGTGATCCACAAAATAAGAATATATGAAGATTAAAAATTAAAACTAAAAATGTAATGTAAAAAAGCTTGGTGAATTTCCAAATGCTTTTGGTATACTGCTTTCAAAAGTACTCAAAGGCACTACATAGTAACAAAACCATGTGTATTTTGCAACAAAAAATACATTCCTGACAAAACACACACACACACAATATAAACATAGCACAAAAAGTAAGGATGTCATTTCTTTGCTTCTGTGCAATAAATCGCATACCGTCGAAAAGCCTCTTTGTTTCCCTTTTAGCAAATGGTGCCACATTTGTAAGGAACACGTATTTGTGTGATGACCAGCAGAGTTGAGTATGATTCCCAGATGAGAATGTTGAGTTGATGTTGATGAAGCTAATGAAGCAAAGACTGCAAAGACTGGGCGGAGACGGAGAGTAGCATGAACCCACGGAAGGGAGAGAAAATCATATCTAAAAGAGACGATAGCACCAAGATGATAACTAACTTTTGGATAATGGAAACCAGCTGATGCAAACAGCTGACGGCATGTTTGGAGACCCTTAAACGTGACAGCAAGCATACAGTTAGCATGCGTGAGACTAAGAGTATAGTCTCTACTTGAACTGAAGCTGAAGCTTCATTTGAAATGAACAGGGATTATATATATATATATATATATATATATATATATATATATATATATATATAATCCCTATATATATATATATGAAGACCGAAACTGTTGTTGTACCAGACTGTAAACATATTTACTTCTCCTGTAGTCCTTTTAACACAGGAGGTCCACAGGGATCAAGTTTCTTTGATCAGCTGATGTCAGCACCTCACAGTCGGTTTCATTTACGAAAAGACGGAACCTGTTTAAAGAACAAGCTTTCCAGATAGCAGGATGAAAGTAGCAGCAGGAGTCATACTGATAATTATAAAGATGGGTAAATACAATACATTCATATATGTATAATTATATCTTAATTGGCATTTTCGTTAAAAGCTGATGAAAAAATAGTAAGTCGGAATGAGATTTTTCAAATGACTGCACTTCCAAATGTGTTTCTATGCAGCAAATAACTTTATCAAAACATTATCAGTATATCTCATAAAAATCATCTTACAAAGTCCTAAAGCTGACAAAATGCTTTAGAATTACAAACGCTTAAAAGGGCCTTGAAAGATGAAGTCAATCTTCCCTCTGACTTTTTTTCAGTTTCACAACAAGTTGTTCCGCGCACCATTTTTTGCTATTCAATATGATAAATAGACTGTACTTGTAAAGCACTTTCCATGTCTTTAGACCACTCATAGAGCTTTTACACTACATGCTTTCATTCACCCATTCATACACTGATAAAAGAAGCTACCATACACTCTGCCAGTAACTACCATTCACACACCATAGTCAAAGCTACAGCAATGTTGGGGTTGAGTGACTTTCTCAAGGACACATCGACCTGAGGGTTAGTGGAGATGGGGATCTGACAGAGGGACATCCTTGCTCTCCACTCACCCACAGTCTCCGGCATCGCATGCCCGACCCAATCAGAGTTTCAAGTACAATCAAGTATTCTGACCAGTCTGTGAGAACAAGACTATTCCTCAAAGTCATTTTTAAATCTTTAAATTGTATTTCAATGAGGGGTTTTCAAGC